AAAAACATGTTATTAAAATAGCTGCAGTATATTATTGGTCAATCCTCTATAAAGTGATCTAGCAAAATCAAATAGAATCATTAAACTAGGATATTGGGGCAGCAGGGGCAGAATAATTCTAACAACCAAAAAAAGCACATTTCTATGACTTCAGGCGAGAGCTGAGTACCCTGGGATATGAGGCTAAAACTATTCCCTTGACATATTTGAAAAGTGCAAACAGAATTGGTTCCCCCAAAGACCTCTTAGCCTGGTTTCCCTCTGGGCGCCAAAATACAGGACAGCTTTTGTTTGCGAGTATACCCCTTTTCTTAGTCTCCACTTTCCCCCTGCTCCTTCTAATCTTGAACTGATGCCAATGAGTATACAGTGATCTGCACTGATCTTACCAAAATAAAGCCGTTTTCAAAATAATAAAGTCAATTTTAGCTAGAACTTTGCTTTTTTACTTTTTAAGGTGTATTTTCCCTGTATTATTTGGCAAAAAAAATCCATTTCCAGAGGCTTTTTTCCAGTCATAGTCACAGTGGTGTTGTTCAAAGTTTATTGGGCAGGGAACACACACAGTTACCTTTCCAACCTTTCTAATTTGTATTGGATTCTAAGCTCCCACATCTTGGCCCTCGGGCATTTTCCTTGATAAAGCCCCCCTACCTTCTAGTCCAACAAAGACCAAAGACTTTGGATATGAAATTTTTAAAGTAACCACTAGAGAAGAGGCTTCAATTGTATTGGCCCAACCGGCAATCTGTGGAAGGCCACATGAATTGCTCAGAGATAACTCCCTCGCCTTTCACCTTGCGGTCACCAGTTTGAATCAAGCAGAGATTAACAGTGTCCAAGGGTTGTTATCATCTGGTGATGGCTTGGGAGCTGATATGAAATAAATTGCTAGTATCTTGCGTCTACTTGCCTGAGGTCACCCGGTTCAGGCTATTTTAGGGACCAGATCCAAATCTTAGCTGCAATGTTGACTCTAACTGGAAGCCTCTGCACAAGGATCAAATGCTAAAAAAACCCATAGATTATGCTTCCTCTTGAACTAATGGAAGATATCCTCTCCGACAATGTTGAAAGTAAGCTGGGGAGTTGCGGTGTGGGGGGTGGGCAGGGTCTGTGTGTTCTGGATGACAGGACTGAGTATTTAATTTATATTCTGCTGTGGGTCTCCTACAGGTGATGATCCCATGTCATCCAGAATGCCTCACCTGGATGGTACAGCCATGCCCTTTTTCTGGCTAAGTCAGAAGCCTTCCCTCCCCTTACCTATTATTTCATCTACCTTGACAATTATCAAGCTTCAAGGGAAATAAAACTTTCAATGGAAAAATTTGAGAATCTGGGCATGGTTGGTAAATGTATGTATATATAGAGAGAATCAATGCAGTCTAAATTCTCCAAAATTTTTAATTAGGGCCAGATCATTTTTTTTTCCTAGAGAGATTTTTGCTATAGGGAGCATGTGTTTGCCAGAGAGACAGAGAGAAACAGAGATGCAGAAAGTGAGAAATCACCCCCTCCCCCCAGGAGGGATAGCCACACCACAATCCCTTCTCCTCCATTCTCCTTTCGGGATCTTGGGAATGCACACATGTACCTGGCGTGTTTCAAGCTGCTGGGTCCGGGACTCAAACCACAATCAACTATATGGAAGTCTTGTGATGTAACCATTATGCCTTCTGCTGGTCCCTTGAGAGATGTTTACTATAGGGTGCATGTGCTTGCCAGAGAGACCGAGAGAGATAAAGAGAGAAAGTGAGGAATCACCCCCAAGAGGGGATGACCACACTGCAATCCTTTCTCCTCCACTCTTCTCTCAGGATTTTGGGCACACATGTACACATGCCTAGCCCAAGTTCTAAGCCACTGGATCCAGGACTCAGACTGCAGTCCGCCATGTGGGACTATGCCACCTGTTAGCCCCATCATTGATATTTTTTTCATTGCTGTGATTTTTTTGATTAAGATTTATTTTATTCATTATCATCACCTTTTATAATTTGACCAGAGAAAGACAGAGAGATAAGGGAAAAAGTGAGAAAGCAAGCTGTTAGGTCTCAAACTGTGGTAGGCCATGTGAGAGTACAGTGCTTTAACCACTATGTCAGCTGCAAGCTCCTCTTTGCTGTAATCCTTGCTTTTTTTTTGTTTCAGTTAAACTGGCTCTTTGGTTTAAATCATTAAAATATTTGCTTAAATTTTCTATTTTACATTACTATAAAAAAATCATTTAGTTCTTTCATAATTTTGGGATGTGTCACATATAAATGGCCTCATGAACAATAAGTCAAATTAAGCCTGAGTTGAATTTAGAAATAAAAGAGACTTTCAGGATTATTTTGTTTTAAAATTTAAGGGTCAGATGGGGGCAGCAGTGGTGTGGTGGTTAAGGTGTTGGACTCCCACATGGCCACTGCAGTTTGAGTCCCAGGACCTGGCTGCTTGCTTTCTCTGTCTCTCTCTCTTTCTCTCTCTCTCTGGTGAACATACATGCCCTAAAGCAAATAAAATAATAATAAATAAAATGAAATAATTCTTTTTTTTAAAAAAAGTTAAGAGTCAGGGATGGCAGGTGGTGTGGTGGTTAAGGGTGCTGAATTCCCACATGGCTGATCACAGTTCAAGTCCCAGACCTGGTGGTTAACTTTCTCATTTTCCCTCACTCTCTCACTCTCTGGTCAAATTAAAATAAATAAATAAAGTTAAAATAATTCTTAAAGATAAAAAAGTTAAGAGTTGATGTAAATTTTAGAAGGCTGCATTCTTGTCCAACAAAAACTATGGTAGTTTCTATTTTCAAGTTCACTCTTTCTTAACAACATATGCACCAAAAAGACCAATGACTCTTTTTTTTTTAATAAAATAATTTTTTAAAAGAATTATTTTATTGGGACCAGCAGTTAGCATAATGACTGTCACTGGACTCTCACG